AACACACTTTCAAAAATAACGGACACAATAGTTTTATGACGCTTAAAAACAATAGAACAACGTATACAGATTATCCCGAGGGAACTGTACGGCTTCAGAGAGGGGCACAGCACAGTGGCCAAAGAGGCATTCAATCGGGACCTGCAAACTGTGCTGGTGGCGCTTGATTCAGAAAAAGCCTTTGACACCGTATGGACCCAAGGGTTAATCTACAAAATGCTTTTAAATGACTTTCCTGGGCACATTGCTAAAATAATTTTATCCTACTTAACGGATAGAAAATTCTACGTAAAAATAAACAAGACAATTACAGGACCTTTCATAGCAATGGCGGGAGTACCACAGGGCTCAGTACTATCGCCGCATTTGTACACTATTATGACCTGTGACCTACCAATGGGACATAATGGTGTACAAACGGCGTTGTACGCTGACGACATCTGTGCATACACAAGCCATAAATCAGCCGAAACAGCGAACAGGAAGCTGGATGACCATATCAACGGAACTTTAGTGACTTATTTATCCGAAAATAAAATGAAAATTAACCCAAATAAAACCGAATCGATGGTTATAACAAAGAGGCGGACTCAAGCAATTGACACGCCCCTCGTGATACAAAATCGACCAATAGAAGTCAAACAAGAGTTAAAATATCTCGGTTTTCGACAGGATAAGACACTACTTTTTAATGCCCACATAAAAGACAGAGTTGCCAAAAATTCCGGTGTTCTGAGGTCATTGTACCCCCTAATGAATAGACGGAGTCGGCTAACATTGTCGAACAAACTGCTACTATTTAAAACTATATTTAGGCCTATACTGACATATGGTTGTCCAGTATTCTGTTCAATGGCAAATTCACATTTCGCAATATTACAAAGGGCACAAAACAGATGTTTAAGGCTAGCTCTTGGCTACGACCGTTATGCTAGAATTCGCGACATACATACAACGACAAATATCCCATACATAAAAGACTTCGTCATCCAGACGGCCGAAAACTTCTACGCGCGATGCCTCCCTGATGAATTGAGGGATAGCATCATGAATATTCACCAGGGGGACGGCGTGCGTAGAAAACACGGCTGCCTACACAAAAACTAAACATCTACCTCCTTTCAAAATCCTTTATTTAAAAAAACTTATGTACAATAATTTACAAATAAATATCATATAATACATTATATTTAATAGGGGGACTTCCAACAGTGCTCCGGAAGTGTAACCTGTCTATTAATTCGTCCTCATCGAGGCTCGCCGTTGTTCTGGCCTAGTATTAAAATGTTATTTTTAAGCATTTGAGTCTGATTAGGCATCTCCTTGTTAAATAAACATTATATGCCTATTGTGTGGGCTAGCAAGAGCGATAATGGTGTTTGAATGAGTTTTTGTCTGAATTTAATTGTGTGTGTCTTCCCTGAAAAACGTATAAAAAACAGGGTTGTCCTTGTATATGTGTTCGTCTCATGTTAGTCTTTGTACGTGAGAAAGCCAAATCCACAGACTACACAGTAAAATCCCTATTCTACATCGAATTAGTAGCGCTAGCCGCGAATTCTGCATTGAATAGTGACGTCACCGTGCAGTCTTCCGTCCGACTAGAGTTGATAGCTAGCCGGCTTCGGGATTTGGCTATTCAGTGTAATACTCGCTGCTGTGAGTCAGTTAGTAGCAGCGCCCAGTCCACGTCCTATCGTTAGCTGAGGGCTGTATTAGTCTCGTCTGTAAATTGTGAGGACTTTATGCAAATATCCATGTTTTCTGCTTGCACCATCTCCTTCATAAATCGAGTTTATGTCTTCCTTAAGGGAACTGGGTAGACAATTGTTGTAAAATTTGTTGGATATTCGGAGGATGTGTGCTTTGACAGTTTCCAAGGATGTTTGCATGTACATGTCGTGAATTCTGGCATAGCGGTCATACCCCAATGCCAGCCTCAGACACTTGTTCTGTATTCTTTGTAGCTTATTGTAGTGACATTCAGCCATTGAGCAGAAGACAGGACCTCCATATATAAGGATAGGGCGCAGTACTTGCTTGTATAGTAGGAGTTTATTGTCACAAGTGACTCCACTCCTTCTATGCAATAGCGGATATAATACTTTGATGGCTGCCGTAGTTTTAGCTACCCTATCATTTATATGTTGCCGGAATGTCAGCCTCCTATCTAGTATTATGCCTAAGTATTTGAGTTCATTTTTGGCCTCTATGACTTGACCTTGAACTTTTAATTTATTTATTATCCTATCAGTCTGTTTTTGAGATAATATGAGGCTCTCAGTTTTGTTGGGATTTATTATTATTTTTTTATTGTTAAGATAGGGGACTAACATTCTATTGACATGGATGTCCAGTCTTCTGTTCGCAATTTCTGCAGACTGTGATGATTTGAAGATACAAGTGTCGTCGGCGTATAACGCCATCTATATACCATTATGTCCCATTGGCATGTCATGGGTCATTATGGTATACAGGTGCGGCGCTAATACTGATCCCTGAGGTACACCCGCCATGGCAGTGTATGGTCCTTTACGTGTGTTGTTTATTTTAATGAAAAATTGTCTATTTTGTAGGTATATTTGTATTGTTTTAACAATGTACACAGGGTAGTCATTCATAAACATTTTGTGGATTAATCCGTCAGTCCAGACTGTGTCGAAGGCCTTTGCAGCATCCAGTGCCACTAAAACCGTTTGTTGATTAACATTAAATCCTTTTTTTGCTTGATGAGCAATTCGGATTACTTGAGATACTGTGCTGTGGCCGGCCCTAAACCCAAACTGTTCTGGCGGAATAATTTGTTTGTCGAGTTCGTATGTATGTATTCGTTTTAATATTACTTTGTCCGTTATTTTCGCTAGTCCATTTAATAGTGAAATGGGGCGGTAACTTTCAATTAATTCTTTCTTTTTCCCTGGTTTGAGGATCGGTATAATATTGGCTACCTTAAGGGCTGGAGGGTAGTATTGTTGTCTTAATACTCCATTAATTAGGTGATGTAATTGTACTTAAGCTTTTTTGCTGATGTTCTTAAGCAGTTTATTATAGATGTCATCGGGTCCTGGAGCCCTCTTACTAGGAGATCTTTTGATTATTTCGTGGACTTCAGAGGGGTTAGTTAGTGCATTAATAGGTAATATTTGAATTGGCATTTCATAAATGTCCTTAGTTAGATTTTGTATTTCATCTTGTTCAGGGTTGTTTAATTGTGGGTTTATAAAATTATCCTGGAAAAATTCGCCGAACGCATTCCCTCTCAGGTCGTCCGTTACGTAAGCGTTGTTATTGTGTCTCAGTGTGGGAAGTTGCGAGAAAGGCTTTCTAAACCTACTCACCATTTTCCACACTGAATTGTCATGTATGTTGATGGTTTCTAGGGTTTTTCTCCATGTCATGTTACGATGTTCATTAATTTCAGAGTTGATGTGTTTGCCTATTTGAATCATGTTAACCCTATCCTCGTCGTGTCTGTGGGCTTGCCAGCGCCGTCTGATGTAATTCTTGTGCGTAATGAGATCTAATATCTCTTGAGGAAGATTATCTTTTTGTGGTTTGCGCGTAACTTTCTTGGTTGAGAGATCTCTAGCTTTAATTATAGCTTTGGTTAGCTTATTATATTCTTCCTCAAGAGTATTTTTGTTTGTTATGTTATTGTTTATGTGGATGTTTTTGTCTAGGATTTGTCTGTATTTTGTCCAGTTTGTTGTGTTGTAATCGTAGTACTGGCCCTGTATTCTGGGGATCAAGCGCGTTGTCTTAATCTCCAGATATACAGGGTCATGGTCTGACGTAAGTTCTTTGATAGTCCTTGTGTTGTCTATATTCGGAATGTTCTTAGCAACGGCTATATCCAGGGTACTTGGCATGTGATTGTTTTGGAAAGGGAAATACGTGGGGTCTTCCGGATAATGTATGATGAAGTCATTGTCATCGGCGAATTCATCCAGGTTTTTACCACTTTTATTAGGTATGGTACAGTTAGAGTCCCAATGTGGGTGTTTACAGTTGAGATCTCCTAGTAGGAGGACTCTATTTTAATTCAATTTTGGTGAAAATGTTAGTTGGTGGGTTGTATACTTCTACAAATGTAATTTCTTGAATTTTTACGATGATATGTTCTTGTGTTATATTGATATTATTAATTTGCATAAAAGGAATTTTATTACTGATTATGAAAGCGACACCGCCCCCTTTCTGCCCTTGTCTGTCTTGTCTTATGACATTATACTCTTGTATTTTTAGCGAATTTGTGTCATTGTAGTATGTTTCTGTAATGAGTACAATGTCAAATTTATGTTTATGAATGAAACTGCGAACAAGTGCGGTTTTGTTGCACATCCCGCGTGCATTGAAGAAACAAATTTTGAGTTTTTGTGTGTTTTGTGAATGAAGTTCAGTTCCTAAGTTTGTATTGATTGTCAACGTCGCTCATAAACGCGTTGTAAGTCTCTATAATTTGTTGTCCATTTAAGCACTGTTTGAGTGCAGCGTTAAGCGCTCTAATCGCCCTTGTTAGCTCACCTATATTTATAAGTTTGTTCAGCTCTGCGAGTTCCTTATTGAGTGAAGTCACATCATTCATAGTTAAGTTTGGGTATTGCACTATAGTAGTACCAGTTATGGTGGCCTCTACTGATTGTTGTCTATTATTTCTGTGAGTTAATGCTGGAAAATCTTCTGTTTTTCTCGCATTATTGTTTTTCCTAGCTTCCCATTGATTTATTGCGGGTGGGGGAGCTGGTATAAGCTTCCTTTGTTGGGCAGGCCTTCTCTCTTCCAACCTCGTTAGTCTTTCGAGGTAGGCTTTGCATTTAGAGTAGTTGGCGGGGTGATCACCCCCGCAGTTAACACATGTAGCAGGTGTGTCTCTAGACTTGACACACGTGCGTGTGTGGTGATCCCCCGCGCACTTTACACATCGTGCTGGTTTACCACAATTTGCAGTTGCATGTCCCCACTCCTGGCATGTATGGTACTGTATAATTTGTTTGACTGACTTCCTTAACTCCCAGGTCACTCTGGTGTGCAGGACTCTTCTAGCGTTCTTATTCAAGTACTCCAGGGTGATAACCGGGTCAGTGACTACCAGGTAGAGGGGACGCTCTTTAGTTTTCATAGTATATATTTCCCGAGCAACTATTTCATGCTCATCTTCAAGGTTCTCTTTTATGTCCTGTATTTTGGTGTTCTCAGCGAGTCCTCTGAGCACGAACGCATGTGATTTTTCACTATATGCAGTGTAAGTATGATAGGCCATTTTCTCGCTCTTCACATTGTTTAGGACTTTTTCGTAGTCCTCTTTTCCTTCTACAAAGAGAATTGTGGTACGATTTATGTGTTTCACACTGAATTCACCTTGCACAATTGCTTTGAGGTCGGCTATTAGCTGGTTGGGATTGGCTGTCTTACCATCAATTACGATTGGTGGCATTGATGATTTATTTTTATTGATTCTGTTTGTATTTTTGTTGCTTGTGTTGATGTTTGCATTATTTGTGTTGCTTGTGCTGGCAACTGATTGCTTTGGAGGCGCTAATGGGGTTTCTTTTGTGTGGAAAGGCACAAACTTTGCACCTTTTTTCCTTTTTTTCACAATCTTACCGATTTCATCGTCATTCTCCGAGTCAGATTCGTCGGTAAGCACTTGAAAAGCATTCTTGGTGGTTGTTAGGATTTAAACAGCTTTTTCTCTTATCATTTTGTGGAAGTTTGAGCTTAACTTACGTGGCACTGTAAATAGCTCGTCATTATTTTTGCTGAGTTCTTCTTCAGCCTTCTTTTGGTCTCTTTCCCTTTCGTATTCCTCCCTTTGTTTTTCGCTGCGGAATTCAAAGAAGCTGTTTGGGGAATGTGGCATATTGTCGTCCCTATCAAATTTTTCTTTTACACTCAGTGTTTCTTCTTCTGAGGTTTGACTTTGGTACTGTAAAATACTTTTGTCTACACTACTCGGAATCTCTTTCCTTTTAATTCTAGGGTCTGAATTAGCCCTTTTTCTAGTAATGCTTTGTACAGGTGTGAGGTTAGTATTTTCCATTGCTCCCCTGGAGGTAGTAGGAATAGGGGGTTTTACTGTCTGTGAGGGGCAGGCAGTACCCAGCAGAGGAACTACTCAATCCATCCCTCGTTTGAGTAACTCCCATACAGTCAGTAGTATTTACATGGGGGTTACCTCCGAAATCTAGGGGATTAGTTGTTGCATTAGCTGGGAAGGGTAAAGTTTTAAATGTCCCTTTGGGCTGTAAGTCTTTCTGATAGGCTGAATAAAAGTCTGCTGTGCTTTTATCCAGTTCTCCAGATTCTTTGATTTGGCTGGGGACTACTGTGCTGTCCATATCTATGTCACTGTCAGAAGATGAGTCTGATGAAGATTTTTGAAGAACATTAATGAGTGTTTCCACTGTTTTATATTCATTTCCTTTCTTCTCAAGTGGTTCGGGAGTGTGAGGGTTGGAATTGATGCTCTCTTTTGAGGAGTGATATTCCATATCCTCCGAACCATCCACAGATGGCTTACGTGGTGTGTTTTCGCTACTATCAGTAGTGTTTTGATTAGTTTTTAAGTTTTTGAGGTCATCTGAAGGTGACTCAGAAGAAATTTTTGCCAGGGGGTCCCCTTGATTTGGGTAATTGACCCCTGGGTTATTTGTTAGCTTGCCACACTCTGTACTTACGTTTGATTTTCTCCTGGGCTTAGGGCTGGATGATGGGAGGCTTTCTGGGTGAAGTTGCTGTCTGTGCTTGTCCAGATAGCTGTACCGGCTTTTCAGCCTCTTAGAATATTCGGTTTCGAAGCCTTTCGGCGTTGTGGGTGCCCTTTTGGGCTCGGACATGTGCCGAGTACCCTCTACGGATTTGTACTTACACTGGCGTCTTTAAGAAAATTATAAGGAACAAGTATAGGGAAAATAATGTAGGAATTTTATTCGTGTCTAGGGAATTGTTACAGCAAATATACAATATACGAGTATATAAAATAAAAGTGTAACGGCAGAACTAGCCTAAGTGCCGGTAAGTAAAAGCTGAGCGTCTTACGTCTTCGTCTTTCGTCTTAGGTAATAATAATACGTCTTTAAGGTTCGTCGTTTGCTTGAGTACTGAGCATGAGATGGTTCTCGGCTCTCGGTTCTCGAACGTTCGAGAGAGGGTTAGGCGGGGGGGAGGGGTATTGGTAGCAAAGGAAGCTGTTCGCTTCCAGAGGCGGGGTACTGAGTTTTTACCTACATTCGGCCATCCTGCATTGAATCCGACCCGGATTCTTCTGTATCTCCATCCATCCACGGCTTCATATTTTCTGCACATGTCGTGGTTTTGCCTGGACCTTCGTGAATTCCAACCCTTACAACATCATAACGATCATTTCTTTTTACCTTAGTAACTTCATAAGGTCCCAAGAATTTTTTGTTAAATTTCAGTCCTGGGCCAAATTGGGTTCTCTTTATGGCCACTAGTGATCCTTCTTTATATTTTGTTGCTTCTCTTCTTTTTTTGTCAAATGTTCTTTTATTTTCTTCCTGAATTTTCGTTATTTGATTTCTAGCACTAAGTCTTAGCTCTTCTCTTTGTTCTCTAAACTCTTTTATAATTTCTTTTTCTAATACTTCTTTAATTTTGACCTCTTCTTTGTTTCTCATCTTAGCACCAAACAAAATTTCAAAAGGTGTACTATCTATACTTCTTTGATAGGTAGAATTCAACGCTTTTTGTACTGGATTTAAATACTTATACCATTTTGTTAAATCATTCATACTTAGTTTTGTTAACATGGGTATCAGTATTCGATTTACTCTTTCGACTTGTCCATTTCCACGAGGTACTCCTGTCGTAATGTTAATGTGCTCAATTTCTTCGTCCCGACAATACTCAGAAAATTCGTTTGAAGTAAATGCCGTGCCTCTATCTGTAATTATTTTCTTAGGTGATCCAAAAATCTGCTGTTGTTTATCAAGACAATTAATTACTTCTTTAGAAGTTGTAGATTTCGTAGGGTATAACCAGGTAAATTTAGAAAAATCATCAATTACTACTAATATGTGCTTATAATTTTTGTTAGTAGAAGCTATTGGTCCAATTTGATCAGCATGGTAGGTATAAAGGGGACCATCTTTTGGCAATGAATGTAACATTCCTTCTTTCTTTCCTTCTTTAGCGTTTCCTAAAATACAAGGTATGCGGTTTCTAATGACTTTCTTTATCTTTTCATTTAATTTTTCGATAAAAAATTCTCTGTTAATAACTTCTTCGGTCTTTTTTACAGCAAAATGACCTATGTCGTGAGATTTTTTAATTACTTCATTTTGCATACCATCGGGCACAACTAGCAATTCTCTGCCACTTAGGTATTTATATACAACACCGCCTTTCAAGAAATAGTTATTATAATTATGATCAGACTCCAATATCTTTTTTAAAACTTGAATATGTTCATATTTTTCTTGAGCTAATCTTATTCTATTTAGTGTGCTATCTTCTTCTAAGTCTTGAACCATCATTACACTATGATAACGACTGAGAGCATCTACATGCGGCATTCTAGTTCCTCTTCTGTGCTCTATCTCATAACTATATTCTTCTAACAAGAGTGCCCATCGAGCTACTCTTGAAGTTAAATCTTTTCTATTCATTGTTTTCTGAAATGCTTGACAGTCTGTTACTATTTTAAATTTTGTTCCTAACAGATAGATGCGAAATTTTTTAACGGCTTGAATTATCGCTAATACTTCTAATTCGTAACTAGAATATTTCTCTTCTGCTGGCGTAGTCTTTTTGCTCATAAAATATATAGGATGAAATTTTCCGTCGTCAGATTTTTGTAGGAGACATGCTCCATACCCGTGCTGACTTGCATCCGTGTGCAATTCAATATCGTAGCCAGGTCTGTATATATAAAGAACAGGTGCGCTGCTAAGAAGCGCTTTCAACTTTTCAAATGCGTGCTTTTGATTTTCCTCAATTAGAAAAGGTTCGTCTTTTTTAAGCAAATCGCTCAAAGGTTTTGCTATGATAGCATATGAAAAAATAAATTTCCTAAAATATCCGGTAAGCCCCAGGAATGATTGTATTTGTCTAATCGTATTAGGTATAGGATATTTCTTTATCGCTAGAGATTTTTCCTCAGATGGTTGGACTTTTCCGTCTTCTATTATGAATCCCAAAAAATTTAACTCGTCTTTTTAAAAACTGGCACTTCTTTTTCTTTATTTCCAACCCGTAATCTCTTGCTAGATCTAGAACCAACCTAAGTATTTCTACGCCTTCCTCTTCACTATTACTCGGTATAATTATGTCATCCATGTAGTAGATTGCTATATTTTTTGAGGCTAGAGGTTTTAAAATATTTGAAATATATCTCTGAAATACGGCTGGACTATTGCACAACCCAAAAGGACACTTTAAGAATTCATACTGTCCCTCAGGTGTAACGAAAGAAGTATATTTAATGCTGTCTTCATTCACAGGAACATGAAAGAAACCATTTTCTAAATCAGTCGTGCTAAAAACCTTAGCGCCTTGTAATCGGTCTAAGACATCTTCTACAAGCGGAAGTGGGAAACGATCCTTAATAATCTGTTTGTTTAGCTTCCTATAATCGCAGCATATTCTGGTTCTTCCATCTTTCTTTTTCACTAGTACTATGGGGCTAGCAAAGTCAGATGAACTTGGTCTCACAATTCCTTCTTTTATCCAATCGTCTATTTGTTTCTGTACGTCTTGTCGTTCTGGAGGTGCCAATCTTCTTGGTCTGTGGTAAATGGGTTGTTCACTTCGCAAAATTATCTTCATCTCTACATTTTCAGTTTTAATTTTGCAAGGCTTATAGCTTTCTATCAACTCCTTAATTTTTTCCTTTATTTTGTTATCCTTGATATGACTAACATCTATTGACTCTGTCTTCTCCAAATCCAACTTTATTTCCATCAAAAAGTTTTGTGATTCTTTTTTATATACCATAATTCCTTCATTTCTTAAATTTACATCTAGCTGAGATAAAACTGGATTCCCAATAATAGCTTTAAAACTAGAAACATTTTCAGGAATAATGTGTATTTTTAATAGACATTCCTCATCATTAATAAAAATTTGCTTGACAAAAGATCCTAGCGTTTCAACTTTATTATTACCTAAACCTTTTAGCGATGTAACTTGATCATTTAGAGCAATATAGTTAAAATATTTATCATAAACATCCCGTCTTATGGCATTTATATCACTTCCTGTATCCAAAAGAGCAATTATCTTTACTTCATCAATCTTCAGAGTGACCCCATTTTTAGGTAAAACTTCAATTGTATTTACATTAGAAGGAATAATGTCTACAATACGTCCTGTTTTTTTCTTAGTGCATTGATTTGCCATATGTCCAAATCCATTACAGCCAAAACATTTTGGTCCTTTCTTCTTTTCTGGGCATTCTCGCGATAAATGACCCTTAGTCCCGCAGTTATAGCATGTCACAATCGTTTTATGTTTTTCTTCGAATCTTGGTTTTTCCACAGTTTTCTTATGTTCCTCTCTTTTCCATTCTTTTCGTGGTCGACTATCTTGGTTTAATTTACCAACTCTAATTTATTCATACATCTTCACTTTATCTTTAAAATCAGAGAAATTCTTCGCTCCATACAGAATTATTTTATTCGTAGATTCGTCAGGAATTCCGTCAATAATATATTGTATGATAACATCAGCTTCTAAATTTGCTCTACTGCCAATTTCTCTCATAGTTAAAACATATTCTTGAACAGATTCTTCATGTTTCTTCTTTCGATACATTAACTGTTTGTGTACTTCTGAGCTACTAATTTTAATTTCAAATTCAGAAATTAACAATTTTCTTAATTTACTCCAACATTTTATTCCTTTTTGAGACTGAATAAAAAGTTTATCTAATCCCCTTAATGATATTTTAGCAAAAATTAATTTCTGCAGTTCGTTCCACTCCATTAAATCGGCGATTTCCTCAAAATCAGATATCCATTTTTGTATTGGATACTTATCTTTACTATCAAACGGTCGTATAGTATCTTCAACGTCCCTGAATGTCAAAGAAAAATTTCCACTGGTATCTCGTCTATCTCTTCTTAATTCTTCTCGTTCAAATCCTGTTGCTCTTGCGAAATTTCTTTCTTCTTCTTCTTCTTCTTCTTCTTCTTCTTCTTCTTTATCGGCATCTCTATCTTCGTCATCAGATTCTTCCTCCTCTGAATCTTCATCTTCTTTATCAATTTGTAGATTATTTAAAAATGAACAGATACGGCTTGTCAAGTCATCTTCAGATCCAGTATACTCCAAAGCCAAAATATTGCAAACCGAAATCAAATCTGAAAGTTCAACTTTA